AGACTAAGAAGGGAGCATTTCAATCAGACTCAGAAAACATCCACCAATTACATGCCCTTGTGTATATTAATTTGTACACCACTACACTTCAGACCATCAAGCACCAAGCATCTTCACCAGCCACCCAACATCAATCTAGTTTCCAAAGTAACACATAGGTCAAGAGGTGTTAGCTTCCCTAAGTGTGCCCCAATACTAACAAACAATCCAGACTTAATTCCATCTGACACAGCTCTTCCAATCAAAGCAAAGCAAGCTCCCAGTAACAAGTGAAGACACAGCAGCAGGATGAACTACTGGTCAATGCGTGCTGAGAATCAGTAAGGTCTGTATTCCAGACATTAGTAACCAAGCCCAAGAAACAATTAGACAACTATTATACTTCCTGGGGATATAAATTACTGAGCAAATTTTGGCTTCTGTTTGTAACACATCTGCTTGGGTAGATTAACAATCACTGCTAGCGTGGCTTTGCATAGCTGATTATCTACAGTAATTTCTCTACCGCGATACCTTTAATGGGCAGTATTTCATTGGCTTCCAATCTTATTTTACGGAAATGATGTCCACTTTGACCGATCCATTTTCCCCCTGAGTGGCTTGTGATGAAGGTGTTTAACAGAGCCTTGGCAGTATGTCATTTCTCAACACCAGTTTGTTCACCGGGGATGGAATATCCTATATGATCTTACAAAGATTTGTGTGAATGTTATAAGGCAAGTTTGGGTTGATAAAAGTTTTGAAATTTACTTAACATGAAGTACAGCCAGTCAAAGAAAATGGCAGTCTCATTAACTTTCCTACAGCCAAACGGATGCCTAGATTCGGAATACACTGTACAGTTACCTAATAGCTGACTTTCAAATTGATTGTGGTATTTAGTTACTAGACAAGAAATAACGCAACTAAACATAAACAGAATGCCTTCACAAACAGACCTCTTATTCTTTTCATTTTTGTCCATCCTTTACACTTTTGCAGAACCTACACGAGCTTTACAGTGTGATCCCTGATCCTTATGTTAAACTAGGACTATAAATGTGTCCGCAGCACAAAGTAACCAATTTCATCTTATTTTTCTTTCGTTCACAATTTTTTTCCAAAAATTGAAGCATGAGTCTGTGATCCATTTTATCTAAAAATGTTATTGGAAAAGTTCAGGAAAATGATAGCTGAAAATCTGATTCCAATAATGAAACTTTAAATGTCACATTTGTAGAGCCATGTTTGTTTGGGGAGTTGACAGCATCGTTGCAAGAAATCACAAAGAGTCACAGCAAAGTGAAATATAATTCTAACCCAAAATCCAGGCCAATCATTCCCCCATCAAGCCATGTTTCATCCATTGTGCCTACTCAACTGGTCCCTGATTTCTACTCCAACTGCTCCTCTGTCACGGGTCAGCTTCCCCAGCCCTGCTACTGGCCATGCCTGGCACTTGACAGCATTCATCATTAGTTTGTTAAATCACCCTCGTGCACACATTTTCATGCTTAAATTAGAACTACGGAAACACTAGTTTGTGGTAATTGAAGGTTGACAGACAGTGTCAAGGCAAGACATGTCTAAGAAACACTCAAATACACGTCGTCGTTGCTAAGGATTGACTAAAAATTTAATCAATAATATATTGACAGTAAAACTGGGTTTTGTTTTAGTGCTTGTTTTATACAAAATGAAAGAATATTTCCATTAATAATCATACATAATACAGCCCTAGTTAAAAATACATCTGGTTATTTTCGTAAAGCTTTTATGATTTCTCAAAATATTTCTTTAACTTCATCTTGATACTTACAAGGGTGGATGGGAGCTAATTAAATGAATGAAAAAATAGTACAATTTTATTAATGATACAGGAAGAACATATTGATAGTATGTAATACTGGGACTGATAGAACTACCCATCAATTCTCAAAGGCAATTGGACATGAGAGGTGACCACACAATGGACATAAACTCAACCAATTTGATCAACATACACTAAAATTGTCTACAACAGCAATAATATGGCCATACATGACCTACAATCAAATAGAAAAGCCATAACTTCCATAACATGCTGTTTAAGAATGACAGCATCCTGATTTGAAATGACCAATGGAATGGAAAATAGAGACTACAATGGATGACGATGTTCACTGCCTCAGCTAACACACCCTACAACAACCTCAATACAACGACAGACGAATTTTTCCCCAAATCAAGTCCAAGCTACAAAATCAAGGAGCACTGAGGTTCGAATAAAGTTAATAAAAGTCATTCCTGTCCAGACGTAAGTCTGAGCGTCAAGATGGGGCACATGGACTGATGTCTGGAGCCAAGTCTGTGAGTGCCATTGAGGGGTCCTGAGCAACTACAGTAAACAATTAGATCCGTCATGTCTAACAGGGGCTCCACATTATCACTATCATATAATGGCTTGGTTGTCCACCGTGCACTGATTGCAACCAAATTTAGATATATGTGTGTTGAATCAACAGACTGTAATTATCTTGGGATTCCTTTCCTGGTTTGGGAGAAGGGGAAATTGATTGTTTCAGGGAGCATGAAAAAGGTTGGAGTTTTTCCATCTCTTGATCTCCAGCAAGGGATATACTGGAGGACTTCTGTGGTTACCTTCAAACCTCTAATTGTCAGACAGAAATAGCATGCCTAATACATCAATCACGCTCTGCTTAGTGCTTTTATAATTATATTTTTCTATTGGGAAAAGGATAATTTTAAAGATTTAATTTGACTGACAGGTTTGCAGTTTATTTCATAACTAAGTCTACGTTATTTCATATATCAGGGATTCACAGGGGAGGTAATTAGCATGTGACAAAGACATTACTGTCCATCCATGTGACAAACAAGCAATGGCGAGGAGACACTTTTTCAAACAGCAAATACCGTTTCCAAGAGACATATTGGTTTTGTGTGGAAGTTCTGATTGGGACTGCTGTACAAACAGCTTTTCATGAAGAAGATTGTCAGGGGATATTCATGGAATAATTGGCAGTGGAAACAAAGCATTTGAAAAAGGAAACTGTTAATATTTAACCGCTAATTTTGGCATGCTTGCCTTGTATAATACCGGGTATATTGTTTGCATTCTGACAAAGGTGGGAAAATAAACAAAGGCTCATTGAATGAGAACATGTTCTGTTATGTGTGCCATTGTGTAAAGTAGATTGATGGAACTGATGTGATTTTATTTGAAGATTAATCAAATGAGAATTAAATTATCATTTTCATGTCAATAATAATTTTTCATTTCATCTTTTTCTTTGAATTGTTTCATTATGAACAGTTGATATAATATCATTTAAGTAAGAAAGGATTGTTTTGGTTATAGAATGACATTTATTTTATTTGAAGTATGAATGCAAGATAAATGAATTAACAATTGCAATTTTCAGCAAAATGATAAAATACCTTGTGTCATATGTGTAAAATAACTCAAGTTTATGGTGAAGAGTTTCAATAAATCAATTCAAACATTTTCACAAAGCCTACATTAGGGAAGCTTGGGAGGAAGTAAAGGAGGTCAGCCCTACCTTCCACAACCACAGCAAAATAAGTTGCTCTCAGAGCAACTTGCATGACTTGAGTTTGAGAAGACAAAATAAGTTGTTCTTTGAGCAACGTGAATGACTTGAGTTTGAGAAGACTAAATATGTTGTTCTTCGAGCAACTTGCATGACTTGTGTTTGAGAAGACTAAATATGTTGTTCTTCGAGCAACTTGCATGACTTGTGTTTGAGAAGACAAAATATGTTATTCTTCGAGCAACGTACATGACTTGAGTTTGAGAAGACAAAATATGTTATTCTTCGAGCAACGTGCATGACTTGAGTTTGAGAGGACAAAATATGTTGTTCTTCGAGCAACGTGAATGACTTGAGTTTGAGAAGACTAAATATGTTGTTCTTCGAGCAACTTGCATGACTTGATTTTGAGAAGACAAAATAAGTTGTTCTTCGAGCAACGTGAATAACTTGAGTTTGAGAAGACAAAATATGTTGTTCTTCGAGCAACGTGAATGACTTTAGTTTGACAAGACAAAATATGTTGTTAAAATACCATCAATAACTATCAAGAGAAACAACGGAGAAAAAGGCAAATGAGATCATATGCTTTAAGTACTTTCTGCTTTATTGTCAATAAAAAGCTTGAATATCTAATTCCTAATTAAACTTGTATGACTGTAGTGTACAAAGGATCAGTATCATGTAAGTCAAGAATATTCAAATACTCTGCCAAACAGCAGCTAATATGTTTCCACTCTTTTCTCAAGGAAACCACTGTGTTCAGCTAAGCTGTGACCTATACACTGTCCTGCTCCACTCACTTATAGCTTTAACAAGTTGGATGTGGGTAGCCTTCCCTTCAGGAAGGTTCAAATCATCCTTCAAGTCTACAGGGACAACAGGGATGTCAATATTTCCACCAAAAGGAAACTGTTTGTTTTCACTCCTACACAAATATGTGAAATTATTTCTTTTTCTAACTGGAGTCCATGATCGATTAAGTGTGTGATATTGTTGATATATATACACAATAGAATGAATTTGTTCACTGTCTGGAATTCTTCCTATTTCAAGCATTTTTTTAAAAATTATTCATGTGAAATATCTGCAAAGGCTAATCAGTCATAACAATTTTGCTATGATAAAGGTCACTCCAATCTATTAAACATGTACCATTCAATTAATTGTATGAGGTTACAGTGCTCAAAACAAGAACAATGAAATTATATACAAAAAGCTTGCAACAGACAATACATACTGTGAGTTAAGATGGCAGAAAACTGAACACAGATTTTAATGCCAAACACACAAGAAATGAGAAACAGCTGAAGTCAAAGACAACATGAAGGTCAAGGACAACACAGAGATTATAAACAACAGTAGTTAAAACACCAGGTCAAGGACAACATGAAAGTCAAGGACAACACAGAGGTTAAAGACAACAGTCGTTAAAACACCAGGTCAAGGACAACAGAGTGGACTTACCGAGGCCTAAGAGAGAGCGAGATAAATAGGAAGGGGAATAGATGAAAATATTACATAGGCGTATGGGATCTGAATGACTGAAAATTAAAACATATCATTCATTCATTCATTTCCAGAGTAATCCATCATCCTCTTTCAACACACAAAGATATTCTGTGAAATGTGGCATATGAGTATAAAACATGGTGCACACTCAATACCCTAGCTCAACACAATGACCCATGAATTAATGGGGTTTGGGAGCAGTATTTCAGCTACCTACAGTGGAGTTGCAACAGGTTCAAGGCCAACATGGAGTTGGTATGACTAACACTGAGTACTGGGGTGCAGAGATCCCATATATATTGGTTAACAAAACAAGAATTTCAACACTTGAGTACAGATTTACACCTTTGGCCCATTGGTTTTTTTCTGTTTGCCTCTATTATTCAGGCGTTTGGACCTGGAGCAAGCAAACCGTTTATCAACAGTGTGAGTTAAACTCAGGATGTAATGCAGCTGTGTCCAGGTCATGCAAAAACACCTCAATGAGAAATGAAACTGAATCATTCAGCTGCCTTTCACCTCCAAGGAACGGCGTAATCTACACATGAAAACTTTACATGGCTTGTATACTATTAAACAGACATTTTTCTATCAATAACATCAATACCAACAGTTGTAAAACAGATAAAACATGTACCACACATAATGCATTGCACTCATCTTTGATATTCTATAATCTTTTCTGTATCAACTTTACATTGAACATATAACTTTCTACTCAGCCAAGTTTCACACTGTTTATTTATTTCTAAACATTTAAGATCCATCAGTGAAGTGTGGATTTAATCTAATCTAATCCAATCAAGCAACGTCTCCTCTGAAAGTATTTCTGAATCTGGCAATCTCCAGGGAGCACTGCTGTCTGCTGACAGTAGCAGCTGTGATCTGTAACATTCCACAAGCATCTGTCTCGGCACTCCGTAGTCATATGTCATCAACTCTGTATGGCAGCTTCATCTTGAGCTTCTAATAGAGACGTCACTCTCTACATGGTCCACTCTTCGACCATTACTCCTCGGGACTTCCCACAGCTGGACTCAAACTCATTCATTTTATCATCCAGTTACATCAGAATGATACTCAATTTCTAAGCCCTAATCAATACATACAACCCTCTTGTTATTTCAGTCTTTTTTTAAAATCCAAACAATGTTTACCTTAAGACTATTCAAATAGTCCAAATTTAGTTTCATATTGTAATTTCTCATTAATTACATCCATACTACAAAAATGCCATTCCCAAAGGGACTTCATCACTGAGACTGTTACACTTCCCCTTCTTTGACATAAACCTTTAGTGATTGAGTTGGGTCCAACTGTATTTCAATTATATCATGGTGTGTCAGCTTAATGTGGGAGTAAAACGCAGTTTTCAACCCTTTACTACAAAACAAGGATTGCAATCAGGGCAATTCTAGGATCCTTGTACTCCCTCAAGGTAAGAACTCACAGACTTACCATAGTAATAACACTAGCAACACATTTTCAAAGGGGCCTAGTTATCTTAGTTTCATATGGTCCCTACTGATAATATGTACAAAAGAGCCATTGTCCAGCTTTGTTCTTCTTGCACAGGGAATATGTATAATTCAACTGAACTTTAAGAGATATCTAATCCCAATAATACTTGATAGTGGTCACATAAATATACTGAGAAGTGAATCTTTAACAGCGTCTCAATGTCCAGAGAAGTTAGAGGAGACTGGGCCACCCTGTCACTCCACACAAATCAAATTGCTGCCAACCCTCTCTACTTCTTCAAAGATTGGGTCTAAAAGCTACTGCAAGTGAGGGCTGGGACCAAAATAGTCTGGAAATAACGAAATTTAAAGGGAAATTGACCTTTCTGGTGTTTATCCAGGACATCAATACCTGTACAAATTCAGAATCCTTCTTGGTGAAGACCGTTCAACAATGTTGTTCCTGTGCATTGTAGTCCTTGCACTTTATACTCACAGTATTATGGCTATCTTATACACACAGTCACCCTTCACATCATGGAAAGTGGGCTTCTTTCAATCAAACTCAAATACCTATAAGTTTTCTTTCACAGTGGGTGGAAATGGATCAGTGAAGGGTGTCATCTGTCAAAAAGCTTGAGCTTGAAATTTCATTTTGAAATACAAATTGAACATTTTTCAGTTTAATGATCTTCCCATTTCTGGCTCAATCTTATTTTCTTACTCCCTTAAACATTTTTCCATCCACTTCTGCTTGATTATTCCAGAAAACCTCTTCTCAATCTAATATTGCTTCTTTATCCCCATCAAACTTCTCCTACTTGTTCTCATCCCTCACCTTACTCTCTCCTTTTCATCACAACTTTCCCCCAGTTAATCACTGTCACCTCTCTCTTGTTTCTTACCCCATCAAAGTGTCTCTTGTTCCTTACCTCATGCATCTCTCACCCACATCAAGCATCTCTCACCCACATCAACATCTCTCACCCACATCAACATCTCTCATCCACATCAAGCATCTATCACCCACAGCAACATCTCTCATCCACATCAAGCATCTCTCACCCACATCAACATCTCTCACCAATATCAAGCATCTCTCACCCACATCAAGCATCTCTCACCCACATCAACACTTCCCACCCACATCAACACCTCTCACCCACATCAACATCTCTCACCCACATCAACACCTCTCACCCACATCAACACCGTTCACCCACATCAAGCATCTCTCACCCACAACAACACCTTTCACCCACATCAACACCGTTCACCCACATCAAGCATCTCTCACCCACATCAACACCTCTCACCCTCATCAACACCTCTCACCCACATCAACACCTCTCACCCACACTTCTCACCCACATCAACACCTCTCACCCACATCAACATCTCTCATCCACATCAACACCTCTCACCCACATCAAGAATCTCTCACTCACATCAAGCATTTCTCACCCACATCAAGCATCTCTCACCCACATCAACATCTCTCATCCACATCAAGCATCTCTAACCCACATCAAGCATCTCTCACCCACATCAAGCATCTCTCATCCACATCAACACCTCTCACCCACATCAAGCATCTCTCACCCACATCAACACCTCTCACCCACATCAACACCGTTCACCCACATCAAGCATCTCTCAGCCACATCAACACTTCCCACCCACATCAACACCTCTCACCCACACAACATCTCTCACCCACATCAACACCTCTCACCCTCATCAACACCGTTCACCCACATCAAGCATCTCTCACCCAATACAACACCGTTCACCCACATCAACACCGTTCACCCACATCAAGCATCTCTCACCCACATCAACACCTCTCACCCTCATCAACACCTCTCACCCACATCAACACCTTTCACCCACATCAACATCTCTCACCCACATCAACACCTTTCACCCACATCAACACCGTTCTCCCATATCAAGCATCTCTCACTCACATCAACACTTCTCACCCACATCAACACCTCTCACCCACATCAAGCATCTCTCACCCACATCAAGCATCTATCACCCACAACAACACCTTTCACCCACATCAACACCGTTCACCTACATCAAGCATCTCTCACCCACATCAACACTTCTCACCCACATCAACACCTCTCACCCACATCAAGCATGTCTCACCCACATCAAGCATCTCTCACCCACATCAAGCATCTCTCACCCACATCAACACCGTTGACCTACATCAAGCATCTCTCACCCACATCAACACTTCTCACCCACATCAACACCTCTCACTCACATCAAGCATCTCTCACCCACATCAAGCATCTCTCACCCACATCAAGCATCTCTCACCCACATATACCTCTGTTCACACCACTCTTGTTCCTAACCCCAATCAAACTTCCTCACATTACTCACTGCCCTATTTATCCCCTCCAATTTCCTCCCGTTTTATTTAATTAACTCCAGTCCTGGGACTTAATTGATTATTTTAATACAACAGTCAACTATCTTTGATAACCAAAGACTACAGCTACAATACATAGCCTGTACAGGCAGCTATCTGCAGTTTCACATCTCATACCCAAAACTAACTCGCCCCTAACCTTCTACATAAAGTCATTTTGTTTTCCAACCATGTAACATATATCCAAACATGCACAGGCCAGAATGAGCTCATAAGCTGTGCACACATAAACTGTAAAGCTGTAAGGTGACAAACAGACCTTGGCCACAATCCTTTAAATCAGTAGTATTATGGACAACCCACAGGACCCTGGCATTAAACTTTACTTCAGTCGATTCTATTCTGTGTTATTAGAGGAGCTGTCAAGGCCTGGTCAGTGCCATGGAGCTGTTGTTAGGAGTGATGGATCGTACACCAGACAGCCCCCCAACATGAGCATCCATGACATGCCTCAGCTTGCACAGGGAAAGTGATTTATTGCTTGATGAACTTCGATAATTGATGAACACCTTTGTGTTCTTTTAGGAAACTTAACAAGGCAAATTGATTGATGAAAGGGCTATTACATCAATTACCTACAGTAGGTTGATGCGTTGACTGTTTTAATGACCCCTTATGCTAAAATGTCAAGATGTCTTCTGGCAAGAAACTGTCTATTCCTGGTGGAACTAAAAAGAATGGTTATGCTGATACGGTTGGTGATTGGGAGAGCCATTAGGGTTTTCATGCAGAGTCAGCACTATGAGACAGCATATCAGAGCAAGCCACATGAGCTTGAAGTCACCAAACCCATGGTCAATGGTGTGAGTATGATGGCAGACAAAGACAGCCAGGCCATTACCCATTTAAAAAAATTATTTTAGTGTTAAGCATGTGACTTATAATAAACATCTACTGCTCTAGATAATTTACAAACTTGAACTGAATTGAAGGTGAATCAGTAGTATTTTTAACCATAAAATTAGAAATACACTATAAGCTGGTGTCAGGCCAGGTGAGCTAAACACTAGCTTATTGGTGTCTTCTGGAGGGTTCCAGTCCAGGTGAGCTAAACACTAGATAATTGGCATTTCCTAAAGGGTTCCTGCCCAGGTGAGCTAACCACTAGTTTATTGATGCTTAATGGAAGGTCCCTGCCCAGGTGAGCTCAAACACTAGTTTATTGCTGTCTCTGCAGGGTTCTCAAGACAAACGTCCTCAATGAGTTGAAAAGATCCATTGATGTAAAAAGTATATTTATACATCTATTCATACTTGAAGTGACATCAGTGGACATCATAATGTAGAAATACACAGTTTATAACTGTTTTAATATAAACAGTTTAGTGAAAACATTCATTACATCTTAATAGATGTACATCGTGATTGTGATACCAAGCCGAAACAGAGGATGCCAAAGCTTTGATCACAACAATAGCATCTGCAACTGTTATGTTCAAACACATCCAAGATGTTCAAGATATTTTTAGGTTTTGTAAAATCCATCTTCCCAATGCAAGAGAGTTAACTGACTATTAAAGTCCAGTTTCCACCCTTTCCAAACTAGGCTGGAATTATGGAGTCATATTTTGGCTGGACTAATGAGTCTATGCATAGTCCAATAAAAATCGCTTAACTAAATCAACATCCGGTTCATAAACTGACGATCAGATTTTGGTCGATTGCAGGATTTGCAAAGCATGTGTACTGCCAACACTTCGTCAACAGATATTTTCCAAATCTATTCATGTTTTTGATGCACTTCGCGAAGTAAAATCTGTTTTATCACAATATAGATTTTGATTATCAATCAGAACGTCTTGACTGGGCAACGTCATTTGGTTTGAAGCGAATGCAAGTGATATGAGGGGTGGAATCTGACAGGTCAATAGGAGGGACAAAGAAGGGACATAACTCGTAATAGCCACTTGAAATTCCAGCCCAGATCAGTGAGGTTGGAAACTGGACTTTTACAGTCAGTTAACGTACACCCTTGCCTCGGGAAGATGATGAACACCCATCACAGAGCAGCAAGCATATGATCAGGGCATAACAGCCCAATAATCAAAGTGTCATTGGCTGAGACAGGAATCCGGAAATAAGAAAAGTTAGTACCCCATTGGATATGGTTCTGCAAATGTGTGTAAAAAGTCCAACAGGTTTAATTTTCAATTCTAAAACAGTAGTGCAAACATCAAACGAACAGCACCTCTCTTCTGAAACCAAACTCAAGAGAAGAGATAAATATGAACTGCAACTCCACAAACAGAAATTGACTGAACATAGCTCACCTTGATTCTCCCCACAGCCTCCTGGGCCTGCATCATCCTCATGGCTTTTGATGGCTGGCCTTCTGAAACGAGCTGTGTCGAGCCCAAGTAACGAGCTCGGAACAAAACTCCCTCGATTAAGACTTCAGGATTATCCGGATCACGAACATGTACTGTCAACAAATATACTTGGTTACAATGGTTTCTCTCTCTATTTCTCTGACATATTCTTTCAAAGACAAATATTAATGATAAACCAAACTTCTTATCAAACATGTCTCTTGGAACATCTTCAACATTATTTAATAGCTAAAGAAAACAAAAATTAGTTAATGCCAGATCATGTTGAAGGATTGTGGAGAATTATTTTCTTTTGCCAAATGTTAACAGTTAAATAGAAAACAAATTGCATTTGAAGTTATTAAATGTCATTCTGTTTGCTCCATTCATGCAACACTGGCCAACATTCCAAAGAGATTGACTGAAACAGATATGCTGAATGCTGATCTTCCTACAAACACAATAGGGGGACAAAACTGTTGGAAGATATTGAGAGAACATAGACTCTGGTACTAAGAAACCAAAACAAAAGCCCTTTACCACAAAAGGTACTGAAGCTCACCTCTATGGTCAACTTCAGGGCAATATAAGTCAGAAGCAACCATTGTGAACAAAATATACAGAAATAAATCAAATACTAACAAAAACAATGGTATTAACCGTTAACTTCTGACAATTCAATTCAATATATATTTTTTAGTATTTGCATTTGGTCTGTGAAGATATTTGGATATTACTTCATGATGTTAATAATATTTATCAATATTTGAACAATATCTATCTTTCTTTCAGACTGTGAAGTAAACTTCTCCCTTTCAGTGATGTCAATCTTAATTTGACAAATATTGAAGTCAGCAATCCAAATGTAGTAATATGTGATGTACTCATGCCAGCATCTTCATATAGTATAACAGTAAACTAATTTCTCTTCCAGAAAAGGTTTCAAACTCATTGAGTGGAAGGCCAGACTTTCCTCATGTGAAAATAGAATCTCAGCATTTAGGATGTGAGCATCATAAATAATGAATAAGTAATGAGTTGAGCTATTTTCTTTCTTCCACAAAAAACCCCCGGAAATAAAGTAATGTCATTTTTCAATTCATTCCAAATGGAAATTCTTTCAAAAGATATTGCATGAGAGACAGGATTTCTATTTCTGAATTTTCCTTTTTCAAAAATCCATAATGGAGATGAAATCAATATGACTTAACCTCCGTGCTGATATCACTGTAGACAAATCAAACCTTGTCAAACATAAAAGCAATATCTCGTAGACATTTCAATTATTATTCTCCTAAAGATATTGACCAGATTTGCAACATGATTGCACTTACTCAATATGAGAGATGTAGGTTTAGTTTTTTACATTCTCCCATGCTATTCAATTGTAGGACAAGAACCAATCTCTTTGCAAGGTGCTCAGCTCAATACTTGCATGTCAGAACATTTCGCCCATGAAAAGGAACTCTTAAAGATACAGGACCATCCCTTCAAGACACACTCTGTTTACAATGAATGAATTTGATCAAAAACATGTTGTTCTCAAACTGTGCCTTAAAAATAGTTCATAATACTTGGCGGGGTTTGACCCCCAAATCTATTGACCCTGTCCAGCAGCTGCAACAGTTCCTATGTAAGTGCATCTAAACATAGGTCCACATGGGAACATTCACTGCACAAAGCTATGTACACAAGGGAAGTGACTGATGTGTTTGCAAGTGTCTCTCTGTTAGGGGGTACTTGTGACAAGGACAACAGTTGGATACGGCAGTGGTGATCCGGATCAATCCCCTGATCCAACATACAGGCAATACATTCTGTGACTTCCCTACATTCACGGAAGTCGGAAACATGGAAGTTTCTGCCATGAATGTGATTTGCCATTAAATGCAAGATCACAGTTTACAGAATTATCAATATTATCTGACGTCTACTTCATATGCCATATCATCAGCAATGTTATAAATTTCATCAGTCTGCTCAAACCAAAAGGTATTTGTGGAAATAATTATCAAAATTTTGTCACAATGTATTCTGATAATGAAACCATAACTGTACCAAGAGGTATGAAATATGTACTGTTCATGACTCAACACACGACTTGTGGAAGTTCATAAAGCACTGGTTATGGTCGGAGCTGCAAGTCATGATCTCGCTATAAAGGCCCCTGAACAAGTGAGATCCACATGCTGTTGCCATGCACCTCTCAGGTCCAACAACAGGCGGGCACCTCTCAGGTCCAACAACAGGCGGGCAACTCTCAGGTCCAACAACAGGAGGGCACCTCTCAGGTCCAACAACAGGCAGGCACCTCAGCTGCCATGAGTCAGAGTCAGACTTCCTCCCTGCAGACATGCCACTTGACCAATATTGGTTGGACGTCATTCTCACACACAACTACATCAGTGTAGACAACGTCATCATCATCTCCTCTACTGGTGGACATATTCCAAGATGAGTCTCAGTCTGATGCTGGTCTTCAACACCAACATACTGTTGATGACATGCTGTAATAGGCCTCTGCTGTAGAGAGGAACACTTTGCTGGTTTTAGAAGTGTTTGCAAGAGGAGCTCCCTTAACCTTGTTCAGGGAACACGGCAGCCATCAGAGAGGGAGATGCAACACCAGCTCCTGTGGTTGTCTCCTTCTTGCTGCATCACATAGTGGTGCAGGCTTCATGTACCAACATGAAAATACACACCCTCAAACGGGTTGTGCAGCAGCAGAACTTTAACCTGCTTCCATGGCCAGCAGAACCCTCAAATTGTGTTCATAATTCGAATGTAATGGAGCATAATGTGTGAATTGTGTATGGCGCTCCACAGTGCCTGGCAGACTGTCCAGCTTCTACTCCACAGTGAGGCAGAGATGCAGGTGTGACCAATGTGGACACACAATACTGAACATGGATCAGTTGTGAATGCTGTTCATCACTATTTGGGCATGAGCAAACAGGCCATTTTGAGTGAGAACGTGTTGACATATATGTATATTTATACATGTATACATACTTAACGGTACAGAAACTGCATGTCTTTTACACAACAATAATTATCACTATCAATCTCACTGGAATTCTTAGAATTGAAGTTCCATTATATAAGCATACAATAACGAAGGTTTTGCCAACTCCAACCTTCAACCTGATGTGCTTGTGCATTGTGCTGAGCATGTCAGTGAATGTGACTGAGTGAGAGAGTAGTTTCTTCTGGTTGATCAGCTGAAGATAAGCATCACAGAACTCATCTGACACAGAATTGTGCAAAAGTGAGTGAAGTGGGGATGCAGTCTCAGGGATCATTTGCCTGCCATTTAAAGTGAGTGAGTGAGTATGGTTTTACATGGCTGTTTGCAATATTCCTGCCCTATCTGGGAGCTTGGCACATTGTAATGGTACCCAGTCCTTTGGCGCCAAGGCATTAACTACTAGGCAATCCTACAGGCTCTGTCACTATAGTAGTCTACACATGGTCTGGCTAATGCTACATGCCATGTGAAGCACTATTATCAGCAATAACTTGGCTACTTCACAGGAATGCAAGGTAACAGTCTGTCCGGGTGAGCTCCCATCCATGTGTTAATCATATTTAGCAGCCATTGTGACCAACGATCTCCAAATAGTCCTTTTTATGACAAGCATGGCTTGTTTGGAAATAATTCTGCTCCAGAATCCGATTGTCTTACAAATATTCATGAATCATTGACCATACAATGAGTAACAAAACCACACATGCTGACCGCCACACCTGAAATGAAACATTCCCACCAACCCAAAATGCAACATAACTTCTTCTGCAGGAGAAAACAAATTACGTCTCTCATGATTTAAAGGGGAAAATAAGGTCTGGTGAACTGAAGCAAAAGCAAAATGATTTTGAAAAGAGTGTCTCTCAACAACTGTACACCACACCCAAGCCAAGTGAGCTGCATCTGTGGTCTGCAGAGAAGTTGTTTATTAGTCAAACTTACCAACATCGTTAGTCAAACACAAGGAAGGTGTAGGATCCATGCAGGGCGTGAGAAAAACAACAAATAACAACAAATCACGTTAGTACGAGGCACTTAGTAATAAATGTGTTGTCTTTCCCAGAAATCTCAACAAAATACATCTGATAAATGTCAACTGACTTCACAATGTTGACGACAGTCCATACTGAATATTTTCCAAAAGGAATGTTTTCCTTTTATGGATATACGTCTATGGTCAATATGGAATTTGAAGTTATTGTGCTCAAATTGAAACATATTTTGTTTCTAAATGTCAGGTAGTAGTGACATCACGTTTCTGTAGTTTGATCAATTCCAAACTGTTCATTTATATATAGTATTTAACAAATTATAACTTTTGATTTTTTTTAGTATGTTGTGTATAGGTGACTATCTTGGAGCTCACAAAGCCTCTCCACTTTCCAACTTTAGTCATGGACACATGTTTATAATTTGGTTCCAAAGCAAGAAGTATTGGGGGCATATTCAATTATTGAGTTGCGTTCCTCATGCAGGAAGCCATTCCTTGAAATGCCCAAACATCTGGTATTCCATATGAATGCATTAAGTACAATACAGCTCAAACCTAGATATTAATCTATTTTAATAACTCCCATCTATAGAATTTCCAAGCAGCTTGTGAAGCACTGTAACTTCTTTACAAATCAGATCCCAATATTAGACTAATTCATATTCCTTTGATTAGTTTTGAATAGCGACAATCCATCATTCTGTTCTACAGTCCTTCAGTAACTTGATAAGAGTAACAGATCATTGTGAATTAACTGGGATATGTCAGATTATTGTTTTTTCAAAGTGTGATTGATAACAACTGTGTTGTGGCAAATTAAATACATTTTCAATACGAATACAACATTATCTAATTTCTACCACAGTTCAAAATCACATATCTGATACTGGGGGAAAAGACATATAATACACATTTCAGTGAATTACCATCATGTCAACAACATGTTCATCAAACAAAAAGGAAACCAGTGCATTATAATTGTTTGGAAATGTTCACAGAACTACAAGTTGAACAGAAACGACACAATCACATTTTCCAAAAGGGCAAAAGACTCTGGAGCTCACCTGGATAATACTGACAGAGAACATACTTAAAACCCCGGGCAAGTCAGGCAACCTAGTGTTTTCATAGATGGGGCAACGCTTTTTAGAATGGCTGCAGTTGCATAATTAATGAAACAGCTCTCATGGATACAAACATGGCCAGTGCATGGGCCATACAACACTAGTCATTGTCATATGTCACATGGCCACTATTATGGAAACTACCATACATACTCTATGGCCAATATCATATCCACTTACATGGCCACTATAACGGAAAATATCATACCCACTCTAAGGCTAATATCATATCCATTCTATTACGGAAACTACCATACCCACTCTATGGCCAATATCATATCCATTCTATTATGGAAACTACCATACCCACTCTATGGCCAACATCATATCCATTTACATTCATCATATCCCTTTACAGGGCCATATTTACGGAAACTACCATACCCACTCTATGGCCAACATCATATCCATTTACATTCATCATATCCCTTTACAGGGCCATATTTACGGAAACTACCATACCCACTCTATGGCCAACATCATATCCATTTACATTCATCATATCCATTTACAGGGCCATATTTACTGAAACTACCATACCCACTCTATGGCCAACATCATATCCATTTACATTCATCATATCCATTTACAGGGCCATATTTACTGAAACTACCATACCCACTCTATGGCCAACATCATATCCATTTACATTCATCATATCCCTTTACAGGGCCATATTTACTGAAACTACCATACCCACTCTATGGCCAATATCATATCCATTGACACCCTATTTATTGCAGAACCTCTACCAGTATCTTGGCCACAAACAATACCACCACAATATACCATCAATGCAATCTCATTAAAATTAGATCTTAGTTCTCGCTACCGCTAAACAAAGATCTGAGGACATCCCATTAGGGGTCACGTCAGAACGACCTTACATCCGACCAATCAGAGCATCGCTTACCAGATTATGAAAGTGACAGTCGGAATGTGATGCAACCTCAAAAACTTTAACTCCGAACCATAGTTACGGGTTTAACGACTGAATCCATACAATATAGACCATCTATTAGCCATTCCAGAATGTTCTTTTGTTCAGGTTTCAAATTTGTAATCGAGAATTTGTCAAAATGTTTCGGAGCATAGTCGCCAATTTGAAATTAGTGCCGTAAAGCATGAGAAAGCTGCCTTCTGATTGGTCATTCCATTGGTCGGTCAAAGTTCGCGCAAGGTCGGTCTGACGTGACCCGTAATGGGATGTCCTCAGATCTTTGTTTAGCGGTAGCGAGAACTGAGGTCTGATTTTAATGAGATTGACCATCAACTCTTTTTCCGCTTGTTTTAATAGTATCCACCATGTCTGTTTATTGCTGTTTTGTAGAAGGCAATAATAGTATACAAGCTATTAACAAATGACGGACGGACAAACAAACTGCACCATCACATAAGCTCAGGTAGGCCTTTGGTCATTGTGAGCTAAAAACTGACCAATTTCAAAATAAAAAGTGACAATCAAGTTACAAAATATTCATCCAGACAATGCATGCTGATATCTGTCAACACATCTAAATAATCCATAATGCATGACAATTCCTACCAACTTGAAAACACACCAATTAGAGCCACACTGATTTGAATTTCAATGCACAGTTTTGATAAAACAATCACTTTACACCAATAACATAACATCAAACATTCAAAAGACTTTAGAAATATTGGGTGCAAAGCAAATGTCGTCAATATTAAGGATTTTTATTTGTTTGAAGCCTGCTACAAGTTGACAGACATGAAGTATTCAATCACACAGAAAAGGAAAAAGGTGTCTTTTACTGACATCAATGTCCTCCTTATTGAAGAAGCTCATGGATGAGTAAAGTGTTTTAGAGAACATGTTTTGTTGAGATTTCTGAAGATGACATGTCAAAGCTGAAAGACACACACTCTAACAGAGTATAGAAGTCTCAACTAGACAAGTAAAGAGTATATTGCATCAAGTGTCTACATCAGAACCACATGTCCTCAAATGCTGGCACTCAGACTTACAGCTAAAGACAGAGGAATATGTTCATGGAGAACTGGTGACATTTATTCAACGTGATATGGAATGTCAAACGTTGCATCATTAAATTTTTTCCTCTGCATCTAAGTATGATGACTGAGCAAGAAGGACATTTTCACAAGTACAGGATCACCAACATACATTACATATCACAAAGCCTGAACCTTCAACAAATTTCAACCAGTTGATAGAATTCAAAATTTACCAGGATCATATCAGCTTTTAATGACTTCAATTTATTTACTTTTGAATTTTAATGTTTATTCCTACATCATTTAAATATAAAACTGGTTTCGTTGTCCTGGTAGCATCCGTTAGATTGAGGAAATATGGTATTAGTACTTGAAGAACAAAGCATGCATGTGTGAGACAGAAGTTCATCAAGAGAAAACATCACTGCAATCTTGAAGTCACATATTTGCAGGAGAATTATTGAGCCACACACCATGTCTCAGTGGCCTAAACTGTCAACAGTATCACTGACAACATGTACAGGTACCTAGGGAATGCCACACAGCAGGACAGGAACACCGGGAATGCAGGCGGAACAAAAACTGCTGTGGTCATACATACTCAAACAAAACGTGTTTCCTTAACATGGAGTACTCTGTTGAATATTAATCATGAAGTGAAACAACATATGTGACTTTACCAGTCCTAATACATTAGATTTAGCATGGTTTCACCAGAAGGGACTAGACAGTTCTTGTTCTCAATATCTAGACTCTACAGTATATTACAGGTTATATTTGTAAAAGGTGACAGTGTAAAGAAGCATGGAAGCGCAACAGCATGCAATGCAACAAAGCAAGGAACATGATGCAGAGAAGATTGATAGAGAAGTGAGGCAACAGTGACACCCAGATTCTAACCATGTACCACCACCACCACCACCAGTTCAGTCCCTCACACTCACAGCCATCCCACATGTCACCAACTGCAGGTGAAATGTGGCAGGCCATTATCTTACCTGTTACATACCCACACCAAATTTGGACTCTCAACATTAAATACCCAAAGCCAGTCAGTGGAAGGCAAACATATGTGAAAAAAATAAAGTGATATAACCAGCATCTATTTCTAAATAAAAGAAATATTTGCAAAAAAATAATCGAGATACCCAAGTGGCGCAAATTGAATTTGCATGCACCCTACCGCTACACTGATAAAAATATTGTCTCCTTGATTGAAGTTCACTGAAGCAGGTCAAAGTTATCTCCCTTTGTAGCTTCTTATCACAGCAAACATGTGTTATCTGCCATCTCTAGGGGATGTTTTTATGTGTGATGTAAGTTGACATGATGTCTGTGTCAAATCTGTGACCACCCTGTCTGATCAAGGACCTGGGGATCCTCGAGTAACCCTTTCTTCTGCAGTCACAAATACAACTAACACTTGTTTTTCCACATGATCTATAAAACCCAAAACTGCAAGGCCACTCAATTTATAAAACATGTTTAAAATACTTGTAGTCTAATAAAATAGGCAGATGATGGATTCCATCACGTTTTTGAAGAGCCCACACCACTAGCACTTCTCTATCATTCAGTCCCCCTGGATACCCAACATGTAACCCACGTGTCCACCAAGCCATACTGGATCAACTTCAGTCATAACTGACATGCAAATAGAGTTCCGTTTACATTGGCCGAGAGTCCATCTGAATGTATCCTCACCTGTACCTCAACACTCATGGCTGAATAGGTTGTAACATGTGAGAATGCTGTGTTAAGTCCCATGAAGAAAGCATACCAGTTCAGTATGGACCTGACAGGACACAAGAGCTACCTGCTCTGCTAGTGCTCTGCTTCCAGAACATGACCATATTCCGACAACAGGGAAATTTGAAGTAACTTCCATGTACCTTGAGAATACATTATTCCTACAATGATTAAGTCGGCATCTCCCATTCTGGGTTAAAGGGTCTACTTGCACAAAACATTTTAGCACGGGTTTATGTAGCTTCTATGTCTTAAACATAGACCTACAATAGATGAAGCGCTAACATGGCTTTGGGCAAGCTGACCCTGTTCCACATTAAACATACTGGTTACATTTTCAGAAACTTTACCTTTTTTTCTCCTTCCCAGTATTAAATAAATCATCTCAAGGCCACATGGTCTGATGAATTCCTCGTCATGTTCCCACAGTAGCAGCACTAACAGTGTTGTCTAGCTCTCTACAGTGGAATCTAACACAGACTGCATGTACCCACAGGGGTGGGACAGGGAGGGAGGGAGGGAGGGTGGAGTACAGACACCAGGGTAGTGTAGGGGCATGTGTTGTGTGATTCACCAGCTGCAGGTGCACTCTCAAGTCTAACAGCCACCAGCCTACATGGTAGGCATGTCAAGTGGGCTATTCTCTAACTGAATGATGAAATCATCTAACAATAGACAATAGATCAAATCAGTAAATATTCAATGACAAATTGCCAATAGTTCATAATTGGAACTGCTATTGTTAACATGGTTAAACCGTTAAAGGTTTATCTTGAAATAATGAAGAACCTAGCTTATGCCATATCATTGCCTATATGATGACAGTGTCTGGATTAATCTAATGCTACAAGATTGGACATTCCTGTGTGGTGGCTTACGTGACTGGTCGCTGGTCGCCATCTTGTTGGCCTCACCTCGGGAGGAAGTAGGATGGATGCGGATGACAAACAACACCTAGACTATGAGGTAATAAATTGATTGCTTACATGACTCCTGCTCACCTTCTTTGGCGCGCGAACGGCGCTTCTCGGCCTGAAACAACAATCAAAGAATTAGTCAGCTATCATCTGATCGAACGTTCACTGTACAACCTGGCTAGTGATAGAGATAATTTGAGTACTTGATAAACCTGGCATCTCTGGTTTCATATTTTGGTGACTATTTTTAAATACTTGTACACAAGCTTGATAAGTTTTCTCTTCAAGGAAAAAAGATAATGAACCAATTTCAACAAAATGGGTTGCCTCCCTTGGAATATGTCATATAAACTCCATTATCAAATTGTTCAGCAAATAAATTGCCTGGCTTTATATATGAAGAACAGCTACAAACAGTATAGCATACAAACTCTTACCTAAACTGTATAAATACAAAATACATAATCTGAAGATTCAGACCATTAGAATTCTACTAATTATCTCCCTTGGATCATACGGCAAAGTGTTGTCTATGATGACTCCGAAAATCTCCGAATAGATCTTGCATTGAAAACTCTGCCTATCTGTCACCGCAAAAAGAATATTCCTAACAGTTGCAAACCTGACAACACAGCATTCAACAACCTGACAACATTCAGCTTCTGATTATAACAGTAGGTAGCTTCAGTCTCCATTCTAGACTGTGAGCACGATGCTGTGTTTAAAATACCTGCCTGCCCAACAGTCAGAGAAGGTCTATTTGCTAATGGGCAGTCAGTTTTGAAAAGTTGCACGCCCAATGTTCGAGAGTTAAAGATTCTAAGTTGACAATCAACCAGTTTATTGTTATTTTCTGAGAACTAATATTAAACAGTGCTTTTCTTATGGTTAATTTTTTGTTACCTTTAATCGTTAGTTCAGAAAGTCCTGGACTGGCAACATTTTATTTAGTCTGGTTTCTTTGTAATGTTGCCAGTCTGGTTGTCTGACTGAAATTTGGAGGAATTTTATACACTGTCTGTCAACACCCAAATCTTGAACAGACATGTTTATAATGTGAGACTAATACAATAAATAATGTTTGCATTTATGGAGGTATAAAAGAAAACACCAGTGTGCATACTGCTAGGCAGATTTACACAGTGTCAAAATACATATTTTAGTAAATTCTTATAAATAAGTATGTCATCCATAATAACTTCACAGACTGCTTATTTAATCATTAACACAAAAGACCGGAGCCAACAATAGGAAGTTAGTGAAATCATTCAGCCCTAATTATCAGCCAATCAGGAATCAGTATACCGCTGGGACTCATTCTTGGGGGAATAATGGAACACAAACACAATAATTGCTTGGTTAGACAGTCAAATGTCATAGAATCATTTGCAATTCATTTATATATCAATACATATGAATATATTTCAATCCCCAACACTTTCTCCACACGCGGGGAGCAAGGCTGGCAGTATACCTGAGCACTTCTATTAACAGGTGGTTCACTGAGTTCAGGAATCTCCACATACTGGTCCCGTCGCTGATACTGTTTCTGCAGCAAGCGGTCCGTCTCCTCATCTGTGTCCGAGTCTGCAACATACTCTCACGCATCAGCAAACAGAATCTCATAATCTTCAAAGTGGTGAACCCCTTCCTGTCAGTGAAAGACTTATGGCTTTGCCTAATATCCCAAATAACAAAATCTGGCAAAAATTCAGATACTAATTATCTAAGTCAGATTTATGCTTCAAAATCAGCAATTGCGGTCCAAACACGTTTCTTTAGAGCCAATGTAAAGGACAATTTCACTGAACAACATTAATACATGATAAACTTGAATTATTTGAAATTATAGGTGGCTTTCAAGTTTAGAGAACATTAGCTTTCAGAAGCATCAATTCACATATTATCAAACTTGGTAGACAAAGCAAGCTTGTCAAAGATTTCTTCATTGAAATATTTCCTATTAGTTGTAGGGTCCATAAATATTTGTTTGAGATTTTTTCAGTCAGATATAAAATGTTGAGCGTTCTTATAAATACAGACTGTAAAGTACATCATTTTAAGTACGTATGTAGAAACAACAATGGATCAAAAGTTTGTTTATTCATGTCTGCAGGTAAGGTATTCAGATGTCAACAAGACATCAAATTGCAAGGGACAATCAACTCATTAAACCTTCTTTAGACTTGTTTCAGCTTCACATTAATGTCAACTGTATCTGTGAATGTGTGAGTGAAGGATGTTTTAAGCCACAGGCAGCAATACTATCTGGACCGGGCAGCCCAGCAGCCGACAGCAAGGACAATGATCCATCACAGTATGACACACAACCAGCCAAGTCTCACAGCATCAGATCCCAAACCTCATTTGTCTGCTGTTATGACAAGCAACTTAGCATTGGGTATGTTGGGCCTTCGCTGGCATCCCCACAGGGACTACTGTATCAGTCCATGCAAAAAACTTAAAAGTCTGCTCGCCTGAACTTGGCTAAAAGCATCATTTTCTGTAGATTGTAATCTCATTTCTAAATTATTACGGGATTAGCTTACTAGAATGAACAGATGTTAACTAGGCTCAGGCTTCGAACTTTGCTGTATCAAATTATTATTAACAATGAGATGAATACATACCTTATTTTGCACTTGAAATATGTAGACATCAATATTTTAAGAAAGGGAGTTTGTTTAACATATTTAATATCACATTGTACTGAGCTTAAATATATGATACTTCCGGTACCTTCTTTTCCTCTGTTATCATTCCATTTATAAGCCCTGTATATTTGACTATATATATTTACCTGTTGTTGTTGAGTATTGCACAGCATATCTGTTAAGTAACTGCCTCGAACAAACCCTAATGACATTCTCAGTATCCCTTTTGCATGGCTTGTAAATGTTCAGTTTTGTTTAACTATCACTACCTCATAACATATGGAATACACATTCATATATATTACCCAGTATCTACCCCGCACCAGAACATGTTCACTATTTGTCCATGATGTGTTTAGTATGTACTGAGAATCACCTCAACCTCTGCCCAGACCATCACTGGTCTGCAGCCCTCACTGCAACCCCCCTACACTTGCCAGCCACTGCAACAACCCCTTCCCACCTTCAAGTCAGTTCCTATATGATGCATATGGATGAACTGTGCCAGTCCTTCACAGTCAGTTCTTCTTCAGTCATTTCCTATCCTAAGTCACTCAGCAGTTCCTACACCTCCCCTCAACACAACTACAGCCCCATCACGCTGGACACTCTCAATCCCTGATGTCACTCATTGCGTTAGTCCGTACATCTCAGGTCCCTCCAGTCCTAATCGAATCCCTTCAACTCAGCTGTATTCCAGTCTCAGTGCCTATCCAATTACTAAACCTCAGGATTGTCCTTGCTAGATGCTGCACCTCTTCCTTGTCATTCCTTACCATTCTGTCGCCTCTTATCCCTTAACTTAGCGCCATGACAGTACATACACCCAACCCCTCTCATACCCCTACACTGCAACTCTTTGTCAGTCCCTCCAACTGTGTCCAAACAGTCCGTACATCCCAACCCCTTTTAAGCCCCTACACTTCAGCTCCTTGTCAGTCCTTAATACTGTGTCCAAACAGTCCATACATCCCAACCCCTTTTAAGCCCCTACACTTCAGCTCCTTGTCAGTCCTTAATACTGTGTCCAAACAGTCCATACATCCCAACCCCTTTTAAGCCCCTACACTTCAGCTCCTTGTCAGTCCTTCATACTGTGTCCAAACAGTCCATACATCCCAACCCCTTTTAAGCCCCTACACTTCAGCTCCTTGTCAGTCCCTCCAACTGTGTCCAGCCAGTCCATACATCCCAACCCCTTTTAAGCCCCTATACTTCAGCTCCTTGTCAGTCCTTCATACTGTGTCCAGCCAGTCGATACATCCCAACCCCCTTTAAGCCCCTACACTTCAGCTCCTTATCAGTCCCTCCAACTGTGTCCAGCCAGTCCATACATCCCAACCCCTTTTAAGCCTCTACACTTCAGCTCCTTGTCAGTCCTTCATACTGTGTCCAGCCAGTCCATACATAACAACCCCTTTTAAGCCTCTACACTTCAGCTCCTTGTCAGTCCTTAATACTGTGTCCAAACTGTCCATACATCCCAACCCCTTTTAAGCCCCTACACTGCAGCTCCTTGTCAGTCCCTCCAACTGTGTCCAGCCAGTCCATACATCCCAACCCCTTTTAAGCCCCTACACTTCAGCTATTTGTCAGTCCTTCATACTGTGTCCAGCCAGTCCATACATCCCAACCCCTTTTAAGCCCCTATACTTCAGCTCCTTGTCAGTCCTTCATACTGTGTCCAGCCAGTCCATACATCCCAACCCCTTTTAAGCCCCTATACTTCAGCTCCTTGTCAGTCCTTCATACTGTGTCCAGCCAGTCCATACATCCCAACCCCTTTTAAGCCCCTACACTGCAGCTCCTTGTCAGTCCCTCCAACTGTGTCCAGCCAGTCCATACATCCCAACCCCTTTTAAGCCCCTACACTTCAGCTATTTGTCAGTCCTTCATACTGTGTCCAGCCAGTCCATACATCCCAACCCCTTTTAAGCCCCTATACTTCAGCTCCTTGTCAGTCCTTCATACTGTGTCCAGCCAGTCCATACATCCCAACCCCTTTTAAGCCCCTACACTTCAGCTCTTTGTCAGTCCTTCATACTGTGTCCAGCCAGTCCATACATCCCAACCCCTTTTAAGCCCCTACACTTCAGCTCTTTGTCAGTCCTTCATACTGTGTCCAGCCAGTCCATACATCCCAACCCCTTTTAAGCCCCTACACTTCAGCTCTTTGTCAGTCCTTCATACTGTGTCCAGCCAGTCCATACATCCCAACCCCTTTTAAGCCCCTACACTTCAGCTCTTTGTCAGTCCTTCATACTGTGTCCAGCCAGTCCATACATCCCAACCCCTTTTAAGCCCCTACACTTCAGCTCTTTGTCAGTCCTTCATACTGTGTCCAAACAGTCCATACATCCCAACCCCTTTTAAGCCCCTACACTTCAGCTCCTTGTCAGTCCTTCATACTGTGTCCAGCCAGTCCATACATCCCAACCCCTTTTAAGCCCCTACACTTCAGCTCCTTGTCAGTCTTTCCAACTGTGTTTGCCAGTCGATACATCCCAACCCCTTTTAAGCCCTACACTTCTGTCAAGCACATCACACATTAAATCTCTATACTTCAGTCCCTTACACCTCAGCATGTCTCTAGTCCCTTTTTGCTCAGCCCCTTCTCGATGTGCATTGTGCATTATTTGAGTACACAAGGTGCCACTTATACCTCCATGGGGATCTCTCACGTAGGCGTTTTTGGATGCAGGCTCGGTATCACTCCCCACCTCGTCCGGAGATGAATACTGAGTTTCCGAATTATGCCTTTTTTCTGATTGGTGGAAAGAGCTGGAGTTGCAGCTCATATCTGGGCCATGATTAGTATGGTTCCCGCCATTGGTCCGAATGTTGCGGGTCATGGGGCTGCCGTGCTCTAAAGAATCGTCTTTTTGGAGCAGAGCATATTTTTTGCCTTTGTTTCGGCGAGTGTAGCGAATGCCCTCTATTTCTTCATATTCATCATCAGACTCATAACCTACAAAGAACCATGCAAAAGACATTCAGCATGCACTGTTGGACAGGCCACAAGACAACAGGTTCTTGCTTGAATGCAACGCTAGTCAAACTGGGGCATCTACAGACAGCACAACTATACTACAAGAGTAAAGTGTCATACATTCATAATTTAGACATGGATGCTATTGCCGTAAAGACTTTACATCCAAAGGTGAGGATAAACATTTACGCAATGCTCTGTTACAACAGAATTTGTTTCTTAGATGCAAACATAACTGAAAATTTTCTTTCATTCTCAACATCCAAAAAGTGAAATACCTGGGGTACTGCAGCTCACCATACAGGATTACTCAGCTATCAGGTTCATTTATATATTGTAAAAACCTTGTCGTTCTTAAAAATACAAACATTTGGACATACTTCAAGATTCTCTTCTACAGCATCTGGACAAAACATGTCACCTGATATCACCCAAATTGGGGTCAAGAATTCCATTTTTGTCTTAATGTCTAGTGTTATACTGTAATAATGGTCAAAGACACAAACAACAGCCAGCTGAGTCAACAAGCCAGAACATGTTTTATCCTTATATTATTATGATCTAAGCTTACTTGACCAAAGGTTCACAAGGTAAAATAATAACAACCAAATGTGACTACTTTTTTCATAATTGGTTGACCAATGGGGCTAGTCATGAAATATATTTTTTCCTGTTTATGTTTGATATCCATTTTCAAATAGTTAAGTAAATATGGGTTACCACAACACAGACATAAATCCCATTATCACTGATGTAACCTGCTTGGTTGATGCCTTTAACAGTTTGGAACCAATCTTACTTTCATATATCACATTTTCTTTTTGAATAACACTGGCACTCATTCGAATAACACCTGAAAAAACAGGAATTCAATCTTTTCCACTAGGAGAAAAAAGACACTTGAGATAACGTTTTGAAATTTACCGATATTACAAATAGAAATAATTTGATTTTTCCATATGTCACAGACATAAATTTCAACAATTAATTTCAGTTGTTGTCCTAGTTTAGGTACATTTAATATCAAGCTGACCTCATGCACTTACTTCACTGAAGATGGCTGTACATAACTGGAAACCATATTTAAGAGTACTTTTGGAAGAAATAAGTAACTTTTCAGAAAATGAAATATTATGTTGTCCATTATTTTAAAAGAGAAGTTTGACATTAAGGTTGTATATTGATAAAAAAAGAAATAATCGCAGAGGTCATCTTTTATTTTCTGAAAGAAAACTGAACTTTCTGGTACAAACCAAAAAGATACAACTGGCATACCTTTAATAGAGACAAGCGACGATACCCAAGACAAGCTCACACTGACTATGTCAAGATGAGCCAATATTATTTATCACCAAGAGTTTAAAGCTTGATATTCTCTGAACTCTTTACCTCATAACTTTCATATCATTACTTTCGTTATCATGATTTCTTTTCAATTTTATAAACCTAGTTTGCCAATTCAGCAACAACTTTCAGTTATATCTGATATCAAATAATCTTATTCTAAATGCCCAAAACAAAAACTGAATAAATTAAGCAATTGTTCAATTGTGTTCTCACAGATTTATTTTGCAGCATTGTTTATTGAAATTCTGCACTGATTGATCTTTTCAATCAGGAGACCAAAGGACTCAACTAATGATAAATTTCTCAAAGATCAAAAGATTCTTGAAAATAATTGATACAAGTTGCTTCTAATCCATGTCCGTCACAGAGCATTGCAAGTCTTTGGAGAAAATTTCAAAAGAAGTTATGCTATTTCAGTTGTAGCGCTGGGCAACAAACACTGACCTTTAAAATGACACTGACTCAGAATCGATAGTGTATTTAAGACAGCATCTAAGCGACTTGTCTGTAGATGCCTTGCTCCCAATGGTAGACTTATGGTAGATCAACTAATTGTATACTGATGCAATGCACTTTAGCATTTACAACACTTGTCATCACATTTCTAGCTAGTAACAGCTCAAAGTTTCAGAGATATAAATTGTTCCAGAAATACAGTGAGAACATCAACCTGGCTTCCATGTATATAATATATATATCCTCTGATCATGTTTCAGAGAGAGGTATTTATCAATTTAATTGAAAGTAGAACCCAGATCTAAGTTTCTCTGTTTGTTGCTTAACGCCACACTCAGCAATTTATCATGAGGGATAAAAGTTTCACAAATGCCATACAGTATTAATGGTAACTGATGCCATCTCTTCTACTGAAAATTCAACATTGGATATCAAATTAACACATCCAAATACATATGATTCTATAATCTCTGAAACTTTGACAGGCGAATCTTGCATTATGCAGAACAAATCTAATCATAAAATTCTGGAGTTCAAAGTAAGTAAATCAAAGTCATGCCCGACAGTCAGCAAACTGAAATAGTAAAGAAATGAAATGCAAACACAAGTGATGAGAAGAGAAACAAGGATATCAACATAACCAGAAGCATCAGTAGAATCAAGGTTATAAGGTTCAGGGGATTAAATACAGAACAGGTACTTTTTTCAAAAAATAAATATGAACTGACTTCTAATTAAAACAGACATAATTTGGATAACCAACTTAAGGATGAATGTCAAGAATTAAAAAAGGAGGCTGCCACAAAAAACTGAGATGATAAGATGGAAGGATGTAAACAAAATCATGACAGGTGCAAACTAGAGATGGAATGTAAGGGGAACTGTTAATGACTGAATTTAACAAAGGTTCGCCACTGACTGCACATCAATGAATTCCTAAATTCTAACACAACATGATAAAACTATTTAAAAAAATTACATGCTATCCTTCCCTTAACAAAATTACTGTACAAAACACATGTTCTATTGCTTAACTCTGTGTTGTCAAGAATCAAATTTGCACAAAGCAAACACTGAAATCAATTAAATATTTGTGACACCTACCTTCCATAGAATTAGCAACACAAATTAAACTTTACTACAATATTAACAATTAACATCAGCATGATAAGCAGTTATTACGATATGTTTTTTCTAAAATATTTATCATTATAATATAAATTCTCTTAAAAGTTGTTATGCAAGAATGAAGAAATGCATGTTTGAACAAAACAATGCCTGATGCATGTACAACACTAAACAACATACAACAGACAACTTAAGCCAGAGCGTCTCCTGGATGCAATTACACACAGAAAAACATGATAGACTGAAGGGAAAAGGAAGGGAGAAAGAAAGTAGCAAAGAACATTTGATGACATATCGTCAGTTACTGATGTAATGGTTTAAGAAATACAGAATTGTAACTATGGATGGTATTCCAGGGTTCTTAATTCAAAGAATTTCAATCTCATTTTGCACATGCAATTTTATTTTTTTAATATACTATGATTAAATTTGGATTAGGTTTTTTTTCAGATTTCATCTGAATCCATTCGACAGCCATGCATCAATATCAATGCATGCACATTCAGGATGCATTCATGGCAGTTGGTTGTCTAGTTTCATCTCACGATCATGTCAGTCTTATTGCTAACAGAAATAGTCACTTTGAAAATAAGTTCTATTAACAATTCATCCATTCTGATTTCTGTTTCAGAAATTCAGAAAATGTTAATAGAATCAGTTAAAAATTGCTTTCCAAAAAAATCAGCTTATTACGAGACTCATTAATCACTGCTTTATATTTGACACAATCTTGTAAAGAAGTTGTGTTCCATCACTGTAATGGCTATGAATTGAATATCCTTGAAGAACAAGCCACAGACACAAGATGAAAATAGCAACTCTTCTGTGACACAAAAGCTAGACCAACAATCTGATGATGATTAAACTTCAAAGAAATTAGTTCTCCAAACATAGGAAATGCCATTTTTACAAGGCGTGGGTAATATTATCTTTTACGTGATGAAAAAGTTCATCGATATTTGTAAGTGTCTCTGGAACCATTTTCCAATACTTTTTCATTATGCTTCCACCTGGAATCCTTTCTGTCGCATCTTCATTCTTTTGACACACAATATTGCCTCTTTTCAGCCTCAGCCATAGACATATTGCTGACATGCAGTTTCCCCCAATAATCTCTGATTACGACACCTGCACAATGCTATTTTAGGTTACCTTTCAAGCAAATCACAGTTGTCATAGTAACGATTTCGCGTAAACATGTTTATTCATAAGCAAGAACATATCCTCATCATTTTTATGATACAAAATGCATCTGCTACTGTTGTCATGGAGATATTTTGATCCACATAGTTAACATGTTTAACATTCTCTAAACTGTAACTAATACACTTTATCAGAGAGAAATAAAAGACAGATGAAAAAGGTTCAAAATAGCTGAAATCAAAAGGCAAGGATTTGCATAAAGTTCCATGTAAGATGAAAGAACAAGAGGCTATGGTGGTAAATGTGAAGCAAGTTTAGAGAGGCTCATAGTGTCAAGAATCCATCTTAAATATTTGGTACACCGATGTAGCCATGGGTTTTAGCTGTTACTAGTCAAAAAAGTGAAAAAGGATATGTGTACTGAACTGAATGAAAACATCCACACTGCTCTTTAACCTTAATGTTCTAAGCCAAAGAAGCAGTGCAACTATCCCTACATTTCAGAAGTCATAACCTGTTAATCCAGAAATGTTTGATGATAAATATTATGTCCAGGTAAAGCAGGTTGGCCTGCCTGCTTGTGTCATGGGATGCATGACTAGCAGAGAACACATGGCTATACCGTGAGCTAGACATGGGTTATACTTCTCCATAGAAAGCACACTACAAATCGGCAATAAGTATGTAGATCCTATCTCTCCTAAACAGCCAAAGCTACACAGCCAGGACTATAAGGACTGGTGTGAAGCAGGTATGTCTTCACAGTCATTCAGGCAAATATTTAACTGGAGCCATGAAAAAATGTTTCTCATCATTGTGTTGGTCATTTAAAGCAAGCTGTGTGAATGATTTGTTCACAGGGCAATCAATATGTTTTAGTTTTGATGATAAGTGTTGATCCAGTTTACAATACAAGTTTTATGAATGTGAAGATTGTCCTGATTTTAACTGAAGAGTTATCTTTCCTTGCCAAAACTATGTAGCCGTTGCTAGTGAAGGTGTTTGCTTGAATTGAATATATGTTCTTCTGCCTACTAAGAAAAAAAGAAAGATAGGAAAGATTTGAGAAACAAGTTACGTTTATACACTGCCTGGAATCGAAAGAATAGGTGACTTGAATCAGGGAGCTTAATGAATGAAAGGAAGTAGTCTTGGATAAGTCCACATGTGTACTTTTTCTGTACTTTTTAATATGATTCTCCTGGGGAATAGATCTGCTATAAATGATTAGATGATACCAGTGGTATACCCATCACATAGGGTTCCCTTCACTGCTCAGGGTTAAACTAGTTAATCCCTAGTCCTGTATTCCTGGATGTCAATGATACGACCAACACAAATTCTTTCATTTATAAATTTTTAAATGACAACAGATTCCTTCTGAAAAAATTCAAGAGGTAAAGGTTCCCCTGGTTGACGCATGCCTTCTACAATAATTGTCCATGACAATATTTCGAACATGCCATCAATAAACCCTAGAGTAAAGACTTCCATTCGTTTCCCCAAAGCAGAAAGCTCAGCATGTCAATTTGTGACCTAACCCCCTACCCCTGCCCAAATTTTCTTTTTGGAAAACAGTGACAATTCTTATGACCAAATAATTAATTTGTTGTTGTGGAACCTACTTTCTGCTATGGCTAGGACATATTTGCCTGGATGTGTGAGGAGCTTGGAGGTGTGTTGTAGTTCTGTTTGTGTACATAAGTATATCTAGGATATCAACAGCAGAAAGTCAGATGTGTAAGCAGATATACCACAAGCATGAGAACACACATGATGACTGGTAGCCAAAGGAGCCCTTGTCAGATCCGCTAACCTCCCACAACTTGCTGAGTTCTAGAACTCCAGGGAACAGTATATTACCATGAAAAGTAGACAGGACAGGCCTCAAGAACTCAACATCTTTCAATTCATTCACTGTGATGTTTTAGGGCAGGTTTAGTACCAAGCAAGCAATACAAGTACCGGTACCAAACCATACACAGGATGTTGATATCCATGTATATCCTGTCTTCCAGATCAGTTTATTTGACAATGGTATGATGACTGCATCCTACCCTGACTAAGAAGTGTATCATAAGGTGAACTTCACTGACGAGGGCACCTCTCACACAGGGTGATCAATACTAAGTGTCATGACAAGTTAACTGTGGATGTGGTGAAAGATGCATGTCATGTGTGCTTGCAAGTGTGTTTTCAACAGAAACAAATCATATTTAAAACCATGCCCTGAGGTCTTATGTTTATAAATGAGGAATGATTGATAAATTTGGAAAAAGGTTAACAGTCAACTGGAATTAAACAAACATCAGTTTTCTATTATCAATTCTTCTGTAAGTTCTACAGCCAAATGCATTCCAGTCTGACAAGTAACATTAAGATTTGGTAAAGACCAACATTATAGCAGTTAATCAAAATTTATAATGACATATTTTTGCAATTGACGTTGTTGATTTGAGTGACTGGAATGAGCGTGCGAGCAGCTGGTGTTAGCCAGGTGAGACAGAGTATATATAGACAAGTTATAGAGTGCTCCACAGCACAGTAGACACGCTAACTACGGCAACACTACAGCAAGTTTCCTACCGGTGGACCGTACGACTGGAATGAGAGTAACATGGAGGTATCAGTGTAAGGCCGTTACCGGGACACGATGGAGTCACTGAGCACAGTCGGACATGACAGAAATCATCCCACTTGTGACATCTATCAGGGCACCAGGATATTAACAACTGATTCCTTTCTACAGAAGAGACATAACAAATCTCACACCTCATTACACAGTGTTATTTGGATATTGGCTTCCAATCAAGTCATCATCGACACAAGAACGCAGTTGTTCCATCACAGATGAAATATATGATTATGAATGTATATTATCTCTTAAAACACAGATGTCTCAAGTTGCATGATTTCTGTCACAAGATGAATCTCAATGTAATGCCTATGCACATAGCCATCTTGAGATTCAACTGCACCACACAGTGCTATGACTATCAACCGATGTAAGTGGAACTTCTTCCACAACCGCATTCCTCTGCTCCCTGAAAGAAACTGGCCTCCACCAGACTGGCGAGATCAAGAAAGCTAAATTTCCACATACATCCCTGCCACCAAGAGAAAGAATCCGCAACTGAACCTGAATGGTGGCACCAGACATTTCAAAATGGCTGCCACCAGTAGGTGACAGGTGACGTCTGTCAGTTACCTTTGGGTGCCTGATAGGCCTTCCCATTGTTGTTTGTATACTGGTTGTCAAGTAATCCATCTTTCTCATCGTCCATTTCATAAACTGTCAAGAGAAAACAGCAGTTGAGAAGCGAGTACATAAAGCATGAAGGGTACAAAGCACAGCATGGATCCACTAAAACTTCAACACAGATGGAAGGTAGACATTAATTCCATGGAACACTCATGTACCGCTGGTGAATTTAAATCCTCCATATGATCGTGGTTGAGTGAAAAGAGGAGTGAAGTACAATGCAATGTGAATTCTATTATGCTGTTACATATTGTCGTCACAGATGTTCACACAAGCACAAGGCACATTATCCTACTGTCAGTATGAATAATGCTTGCTGTGACATCCAAAAACAAATATTAATTAACATAGATGAATATTTGCTGGGGGAGCCATTCAGCCATAGAACTGATGCTTTTCCATGCTGATAAGTACATACTATTTAAATGAATATAATAATTGGAAGAGTTTATAATGAATGTAACATTTAGCCAATAAAAATAAGCAAATAAGTCTTCTACAGCACTGCCAAGTTCTACATGTCACACCAGCATGCCAGGTTAAACAGACCACCCTATTCAAGAGTATGTATTAGATTATTATCAGTGTTAGCATAGTTAGTAAAATACTGAGACAGTATGTTTAGTCAGAGGAGAATGTATCACCCTTAAACATAACACAACAATTTCAGATAGAATAAACCACCCCCAAAAATAGGCATTGTAGAGTAAAATCAAATTTATGTTAAACCTAACTTCTCTCATGTGTATCTAAATCTCATGTGAAAGTACAGGGATTTTGAAATTCCATACCTTCTATTATAACCATGGCAACCCTTTATTTGTTTCAAGCCATTTCAAGCACACAGAGGCCTGAGGGGGTACACTCGAGCAAATCTATGCAATGTTCCAAAAGACATGTTTCATGTAAAAAAGGGTTGCTTCATGTTTTCAAGGTGAATGAGTAGAATGTATTAACTTATGGCATTAACCATTCCATAATTTCTTCCAATAATCTAACCAGATACGCTAACCTTGTAGTTTTATTGATAATCTTTAGATATTTCAGACAGGTGTCCACCACCAAACTGAGCAGAGCCACTGTTTTTCTCAGTACAATGCTGCACTAAACTAATACTGGTACACTTTTACACCTTTGTGCATAAACAAGTGAGTGAGTGAGTATGGTTTTATGCCACTTTAAGCAATATTCCAGCAATATCACAGCAGGGATTACCAGAAAAGGGCTTCACACGGTGTTCGATGTGACGAGCGAATGCTCAAACCACTAGGCTACCCCACCGACTTCATTCAGTGCTCGAGTTGTCAGGGCAGTGTGTGCAGTGAGTTTTTCAGTATTTCTCTCTAACATCAGCATGTACTGTGGGTGGGTGGTGAGTTAGCATTAGCATATAACTAGGACAGCGTGTGCATGGTAAAGAAAATGTTGTTGGAAAGGCGATGGGGCATTTCATGAATAGGGCCCACTTAGTGCAGAGGCAAGTTGGTATTTGGAAAACGTCCTACTATACACTGATTTATTGTACAAGATAGACTGATTATATTCCAGTTAGTTCCATCCCTCAACCCATCCTTCAGTTTATAACATACCCATAAAGAAAGCTTGCACATCTGAGAAAGAGATTTCAAGTGTTAAAAAGGTCAAAGGTAAAATTTCTATAATCCAAACTATATATATATATATACCTCTGTAAAACAACCGACATTCATTATGTCATACACGATCATTTCAAATAAATCGAGAATTGAGTACAGCTTAGGCCATAATAAATTAATTATCAGATTTTCATCCATATTTTTAAATAATGTGAGGTGGGAGGCATTTCTTTATACACGTATACATATATCTTTCTTGTAACAATTTCTTCAAGGCATTGGTACTTGGGCTGGGACGAGTCCAAATTTACTACCTGAGTACTTAACCCTACCCCAGTACCCAATGTACCTCTCAAGAATTGGGTATAAAATGTCCAGTCAGGAATTGTTTTACCAGAGCCCTGGCAAAAAGTATTTAGATACACTATAAAAAAATCTGGTCATGCATACACTGAATTGGACAGAAGCTGAATCTTTACTCAGCATATAAAGGTCAGACGGAATGTCCGAATGTCGACTTGTAATGTAACCATGGAGTTACAGTGAATTTCTTACATTAAACACTATATCATGTGACTAACCACGGGTCCGTGTAGTCCTGTGGCTCCCCGGTCCTCCTCAGTACCCACCTGACTCAAGCATCCACGTTACCCGTCCCACCCCCTTATCTGTACATTAGCCGTCTAGGGATGTGGTACCATGAAGTAACAATGTTTAGTTGGGAGGCTGGCGTGAATGAAAATTAATTAAGTTATTATTCCATTACTTATATATTAGCATGATTAGAATGACTTAAGTTCTAACATTATTTTGAAATAACACTTCACCTATGCAACAACTTCAATTGACAATCACAACTGACAGTCTACAAAATCTGTGGCCATGGACCCTATGCCATGCATTTGACAAACATTCAATGACCATATGTACAGCAGTTAGGAGCAACACAACAAGGCCACTATGCATCTCAAAGGAAACCTAAGATGAAGAGGAAGCATAAAACATTATATATCACTGTCTCAGTCTAAGTCACAGGTCATCCAGTCCCAGGTGTAAGGGACTCCCCTCAAAGGTCAAAGGTTAATTCAGGGGTGTTAGAGTATGTATCACCACATGAAAGTCACATGTCAACTGTCAGGGTGCAATAAATGTTTTCATAAATACATAATTCGTCCCTTTTGTACAAAACAGAAACAATCATTCAAGACACTATTGAAAATAAAACCATTGTTTGTTCAAACAGCAATTGTGGACTTCAAGGAAGTAACAGAAAGAGCTTGCTTCCTTTGAGAATGCATTCTCATCATAAATCTAGGCATTTCCCTAAAACTTAATCCAAGTTCCTGTGGTACGTTTGGCTACAAAAACAGCATCTTTAGCCGTGAGAAATAACTTTCGGATATATAAAACAGAATATTTGGAGCATGTCTACAGAATGAGCTCTGATCAACATTAATGGCAAAAACAATTCAAAGTTTCAAATGTTCAGAAACATAAGATCAAAATTAATTTTAGCAGAATATATACCATAAATTTTTATCATCAGCTGATATAATAATCTTGGTGACAAAACTGAATGCTATCAGTAAATGCTTGATAATTAATAACCCTCCTGGTAAATAACAAGATCACATCACTGACCAGGTTTGGTATGTGGCAAGCGAGGCAAGGTAGGAATTCAAACTGATAAGAATTCAATAACTAGACTTTATGTCAAAAGTAGTAAATGTAATTTTTCAAAGGTCTACATTATCACAGACTAAGTATTTGATATCTGTCCCATCCAAAACATGCACAAAATCAGGCGACAACCACCATTATGGTGAAAACCCTTTTAAAACCTTGTCTCTGTTTTCACACTGTCAGTAGAGTGAGGGACATATATACATTTCATGTCAATCAAGAAATGACACAAAGGCTTGGAGAAAATCAGCCAAACTGGATCTCCATGGAGCCTGTGTGTCATATAACCCTAACAGACAGAATGTGACTTTCACTGGCAACACCCGTGCTGAGGGCAGTTAGTGGGTATTCCAAGCTGGACGTTAGTGGATGCAAAACTTGCCAGCAAAAGATGGAATTGCAGGTCGCGGTTTTTCCTCATCAGGGGACCCCTGACCTTCACCCTCGGCCTCTGCACCATTACTGGCATTACCTGTGTCCTCTGACCCACTGCACTCAGCACCATCTACTGGACAAAACAGGAACCAAACTCAACAAAGGGAGGTAATGAGTAATATTGTGTCCTTCCTACCTCACCTTCAAAGATCTGTGCAGTTACTAGTGCATTTATAGGAGAAAGAAGCTGTTATTAAACATTCCTGATACAATAATCAGATGTAAGTCCAAACTATTCATGCTTGAATACATTTCCAGCATCAAGACAAAATAATACAAATTGATTACTACCCCTACCTAGCAATATACAAAAACTAAAAGTAGTTGACAAACATTTGAGTGATGTAGCTGTCTTGAAAATAAATGAACCAGCAAACATGTTAAGAGTTTTAAACAACATTTTGGCTGGAACATATTTGTATTAAGTAAAACCCTTTTTTCCTGATTACGCAAGTAATAGTCTAAAATAGCAGCACTTTCTTCGATCAATAACATTATAAAGTCATATGTCAACCTAAATGGCACTGGTTATGCTTGTTCCAAGTTGGACATAACCGTGTTAGGCCTACCATTAAGTAACACCCTGCCCCAAACACAGCTCCACAATCCAATTATGTCCTATTTCCAAAACACACACATCTTAAACATCTAATGTACAATAATGTAGCTAAATGCACTTTGTCTCGACTTGCACCTTGCCCACACAATGGTTATTGGCCAAGAATAGAGGAGGCGACTACAACTGGTCTATGCTGATCAATGGTCAAAACAGGTCAATGTCGCCGTCTAATCCATAATTTTTCCTCATCCTTATACAACCTTTTCAAGATTTGTTTTTGAGTGCACTGAATAAAGGTAGGGTTTGGTAAATTTGTGTAAAAAAATCATTTCTCACATCTTGTTTCTGGAAAACAAATGAATGAATACTTCAATCAATGAAAACTAAAAAAGTGGGTTTCAGACTTACCAAGAAATAAACAATATCATCAAAGAAAACAATGGATGTCATATTTTAATGATATGAAAAATAATTATGACCAAAACAATGATTGAATTGGCATAAAAAGCTGAAATTCAAGAAATTCTTAATTAAAATATGCATCAAAAAAAGAAACAAGCAAAAAACATGTTACTGGAAACGAAAACACGAACAAAAAGTCTACCTTTTTCCTGTTCCTGTTTGGCATACTCTTCCTCCTGTTGACGTTCAATCTCTTCTCGTACTCGGCGCATCTCTTCCTGTCTTTGTTGCATTTTCTGAATGTTTGGGTCTCTGAAAACACCAGCGGGAACAATTAGAGACTGGGAAACTACTTCCATATATAGGTACACAGTCAGGACAAAGTGGCTGAAATTTTGCCATTGCCTTAGGAAGAATGCTGAAATGCTGAAGAACTCGGAGAAATGCTGCAATCTAAAGCTCTAATGTCAATCCATCAATGTACATAATTGATAACCATAACAGGATAACGAGGTTCTTAAAGTATCTTTTACAACTAATTTCACAAGTGATTACATTGCAGGGTTCTTTCACCATGTGCATCAATTGTCTGTATCAGATAGCAATCTGCTCAGTAAAGAAATGACCTCAACATATTTTGCATTTACGGAGGAAAAACCATAAGAAACAGAGTGCACACTGTGTAAATCCACATAGCATAGCAACGTCAGTTGGTATTAAAACAAATACATAAACATTAATAACTTCACAGATGGTTTATTTAATCACGGGCGTCAAAAACATAACGGTATCAAGGATCTCATTCAGTGAAAAAATGAGGGACGGTGGGGTAGCCTAGTGGTTAAAGTGTTCACTTGTCACGCTGAGGACATGGGTTCGATTCCCCACATGGGTACAATGTGTGATGCCCATTTCTGGTGTCTCTCACCTTGATATTGCTGGAATATTGCTAAAAGAGGTGTATCAGCTAATCAAATCCCATGAAATCACTTCCAATTTATTTATTTTATTGATAAACTGTGCCATATGTCTAAGTTTGCATCCGGCAGTGTTCAGTCAGATTCAAGTAGTTTCAATGTTCAAGTATTTGTCATGTTACATGTTTTCAATATCTACCGCCATGAGCCATATTAGAAGTTTGTTTGTTTTTATAGTAGTGAACATAAACTGTAGAAAAGAGCCCCATAAAGCCTTAAGAAGAGATAGGTCCTTGGGCTGCTTTATGTCATCAGAAAACATGCCTAATCTGAAGGAGGAGGTATGGAGGTTTCCTACAGTAGAGAGTTTCGGGACCTTTCCATGATGTCAAACCAGTTCTCTATGACTCTGATCATGAGAAGAATGAATGTTAAATGAAACATGTAGCCCAATATAACGTCATTGAAAATAACATCAACAAACGAGACATTCTGTTCTAAATTATTAGTTGACCTCCTCACCCATATTTATCCGTCATATTTTCGAATCTGCATTTTAGAAAATAACATGTCAAACCCTCCACTTACTTTTATTGACCACTTTCATATGATCCAATAATAGTGGTTTTATTTGAATAACGGCTCCATAATAATTTGAATAACTGCTCCATAATAATTTGAATAATGCTCAGTTTAGAGGCATAAATTTCATATTGAATGTTCAATGATATTCGTCTTCCATCCAATGTACCTCCCTTCCTAGCTCTAAAGAACATTGTGTATAAAGGCATTGGTAAGCAGTACAGTGATAGGAATCAACTTCTATATTTGAGTTTGATAATCAACACCATCAAGTGATTGGCACTGGGAAGTTCAGGATCACATTCTATGGATGTGTTTCCATGTCAGGTTGAGTATGTAGACTTTTATAAACAAATACATGTAGACAGCGTCTTCCTTATCATTACCCTACCCACTTGTTTTCCTGTCTTCACTCAAGTGCTGTTGATCAGCCAATCAAATATCTTGCTTGTGACCCATGAAGATCCGGGGTAGAATAGGTCTTCAGCAACCCATGCTTGCCGTAAAAAGTGACTATCTTTGTTGAAAGATGCGACTAATGGGATCAACATATGGCTAAAAAGAATAATAGTCTTGGTTCTCAGGCACCAAAAACCTAATACTTAAATACAATGCACCAAAAAAATTGAAAATGGAAACAAAAAGAAATGTGCAATGAACTATATGAAGATGTGGGCAGTGCCTGAGAACCAAGACTATTATTTTTTTTAGCCTATGCAAATTTATCTAAACTATGAATGTTTATCAATGCAAGCATCGCTTCTGATAAAATGATTAAGATTTGTCTAACACATTATTTGAGTTCATTGGAGTATGAACTTTCATAGAGTGAGGGCCAAACTGTATAAACGTTTTTCAAGATAGAACATGAGCATATGTATACTCAAATTGCTCTACAGTAACATCTTTTGTAGGCTGGTTCCAACAAATATTTTCAAATAATATCATTAGATGAGAAAGGTCTGTTAACATTTACCTCACAAACTCAGCCACAGACTGCATATCATAATACATTTACAGGACATCAAAAAGGCCTATGGCAATTACAAATGTAAGTCATCATTGATCAATTAGCCGATCATTAAATAGTGATCATAGACATGTGTCCAATAGATAATGAAGTAAATTCATTGATTACTGTAGACTGTCACTGTCATTTCTTCGTTTTGTTCACTACAATGGGTCGTAGCAAGTATATTCGTTAATAGGCATGGAGACAAAGTCTCTGACTTTTTCCAATGTCCACCAAAATGCTGAGTTCTAAATTAAAGTATCTAAATGATCAGAAACAAGTTTTTTGTACATACTTATGTAAGGGAATTTCCACAGGTTTCCCCATGAATGTGTAAGTAGTCCGTCAGAGTTGACATTTTTTCAAGAATACATTCTCATAAAAAGACTACGAACGTCAAAATGTGTCATTCATACATTTATGAGCTTCAGTTTCGTGGTCCCTTATCCACTGGAAAAGTCATATATTGTGTACGCTTCACATTAAAACATAATATAGAATTACATCTCCCTGACCTTCACATGACCTTAACAACGCTTAAGCTCTTCACAGTCATACATCAAACCCTACACTCAATAAATGAAGTTTTAGATAAAAAGTTGTAGCAATGGTGACACGCGTTGGAAAGAGTTTGTCAACAATATGTTCATTGTTTGCTCTCAATCAACAAACATATAGTTATTTATTGCAGAATGATTCTTTTGGGAACATGTTCTAATAAAATATGTGGGTTAGTATCTTAATATTGATTTTATGATTATCTGATCGATTTTTTAATTTCAGCACACAATCGGTAAAGCGATAATACGATCCATGGCACTCGTATATTGTAAGGAGATCTATGTCCTTCTCCAGGGCACCTTTCACAGCTGCATCAATGCAGGGAAAGTGGTTCTCTACCACCTACAGTTTTCCCTTTCCCCTTTCCAAAATGGCGGAACTTTGACCATTTTCAGTTTAAATTCCTAGATACTATACTGTACTCATGGCTGTGTGTACCAGTCATCTGTTTGTGACAGTCAATACAGGAACTACTAGTTCATCAAACAGCCTGACATGATGTGGTCCCTTACTTCTGATGGTCACAACACCAAGCATCAACATACAGAACAACAACTGATCAAACACCAGGACAAAAACATTGAATATCAGCCCAGAAGTCTATACCTTTAACACAATTCATCATTTCCAGAACTGATTACTGAGGCACAGCCAATACAATGTAATATGAATGAAGCTACTTCATCTTACCGATTCATAATGTATTTGCAGGCTTGGCTGTGGTCATGGTATAGCCGTATCTGTACATACATCTCAAGCAGCTCGATGAGATTTTGGAAAATCTCACCATTGAAATGGTTTACAGTTGATGCCGACATTGTCCCATCAGTCATAAACAACACTTGTCTTTCACAGTAGTCCCGGGAATCAAAATACAGCAGCTTCTTTCCCCGAATCAGCACTTCATAAATTCTTACATCACACACACAACATTTCACAGTGAGTCCTTGAATTCAGTTTTCAATTTAAAAAATTTCTCGTTAAAATGTCTAACGCTTACATCACTTATTGACAGTGAACCCAAATATGGATCGACCTGAACAAAGTTAACCTATCTCTAAACCTGTATCCACTTGTTGAAGGAAAAGGAATTCAGTCAGAAAAATATCCTACAATTGAAACAACAATCTATTATCATTCGTAATGTGAAGTTGTTTCAAAAGGAACTACTGAACTGACGACATTCACCAATCATTTCCAAAGATTTAAGAGAGTTTTCCAATTTCTTTATCAAGCTGTCTGGTCAGATGAATGCACACTTGTGTCACTGTCTTGTCCAAACACAAAACATGACTAATCGTGAAACATGCAACTTTCAGATTAAGATCGATAACCCATAAATAATTTAACCACTACACAGGCATGAAATATCTAAGTAGAGTTGTATCAGAAGACAATGGGTCTCACATGCTGCCAAGCTCTGTAGCAACACTGAAGTACAGCAGAGTCCCAACTGACACTAACAATATTTCATTACTGAGAACATTCATGTTGGAGAGCTCTTAACTTCAAAATGCAAACAGCAATTTCACAAACCAGTGATTTACTATTAGCTCATATGAACATTCAATTTGATTGTCTTTTTTGTACCAATGTTCCAATTCTTTTTGTCAATAAAATTTCACATTGCATGATATCTATTTTCTACTTAACATTACAAGCTCATCAACTCTATTATAAGTCTTTCCTTTCAGACACCAGATGGTCACATGATTTGAAACCAAAATGACACATTTGATTCAACTTAATTCATCCAGAAGAACTGCATTTTTCCGTACTAAAAACTATTTTGAATTCTCATAAACATCAGTCAATGCACCAATCAGAAGCACAATTGTCATTAAGAAAGCCAATATTGAAAGTTATTTTCAGCAGATCAAATGCAGGTAAACTTGATAATCGATAAAATTCCTTCAGAAGCAGGGCAACAGAAACATCCCACTTGAGGTGCGTATTCCCTTTCACAGATAATCAATCCTTGGCATGATGCACATATTCACCATACATCCAAGAGTAGACACCATGAAAAAGTTGAGCAACAGTGTATCCAAACTTATAACGTCCACCACTCGCAGAAGAAAGGCTCGCAAGGATCGCGTCTCACATAATCAGAATTTTGAGAAAAGAAAAACGTTGTAAAGTAATGGTGATCAATTAGTTTCCCCGCTTGAGGCAAACGAGGTGTATCACTAGAGATAAGGGATGATTTGGAAGAGCTTAGTGAGGCCTTACCAAAGTGG